AGAGGAAGAGTGGGGGCCAAGGGCAGTTTTCTTCAGAGGTGGCTCCAGGTGCTCTGTCTGTTAGTAACAGAAACAGAACAACCCACCACATCTCTTTAAATTCTGGCTGCTCTGGTCGCACTATGGCCCTTTCTTTTATAACATGTGGCTTGATTTATAGCTATAATCCCTAATCTAAATTCCCTCAGTCGTACACAGAGCTGCCTCTATTTACCCCACAGTCTTTGAATGACATGACATGGTCACTGAGGTTATCTGTGACCTTTGCATCAGCCTGCATGAGCCTAAACGCTGTCTTTAACCCTGAGAGTCCAGTGACATTGTTGACTCATCTTAATGTTTGCTGCCTTAGGTTTTTCACCAGATAGTCAGATCAGACAGTGGGAGAGCACACCCACCACTGCAAACTGAGAGGGAATAAATAGAATGAGTTAACACATGTTAAGTGTTCAGGACTGGATTTTTTTATATAGGGCATATAAAATTTGTAAACCCTTTGCTGTAAACTCTGAATTCGACTGAGTGCATTTGTGTGTTCTGAGCATTCGTTATGTGCAGCCACTGCACACCCATTTTACTTATGTAACATGACTTATTCCCTAAAGCCCTCTGAGGGCAGACATTGTCAGCTGTTTACAGATAGAAAACGCAGGTGTCTTGTCCCTAACTCACAGAAGCTCTCTTTCTAGTGCACTAAAAATTTTTAATTTTTCTTCTTGATAAACAGAAACACTAATTTTTAAAAATAAAAGCAAAGCAGATCAGAGTCAGGCGTGGTGGCTCATGCCTGCAATCCCAGCACTCCTGGGCTACAAAGTGAGCTCAAGGCCAGCCTGAACTGCATAGTGAGACCCTGTCTCAAAAAGACAATAAATAAACAAATAAATAAATAAAATAAAAGCAGATCAGAAGTAAACCTTTTTGAACCACAGAACGGAAAGAGTACCAGAGTACTGTTCCCTTAGCCTTAGGGCTGCCCACCACTGCATGTCTGGGCTGTGGTATCCACTGCAATAGTCCCCAGCCACATGTAACCATGTGTATTAGCATTCAGTGAAATAAAAACTCAGCTCCCAAGGTGCATTAGTTGTGTTTTAAGGACTTCTTACCCACATCAGACAGGGTAGATATAGAGTGTTTTCATCATCAAAGAAAGTTCCACCAGACAACAGAGGATTTGTAGTGCAGAGTTTGGAAATATTTTTTCAGCACTTTTTCTGTTCATAGAAAATACAGGAAAACAATCACAATATTTATATCTACCTACTGGGCAGTTGTGAGACCCCATAGGATGATGTATGTAAAATGCTATGTAATTTTTCTATAATGTAACTTGCAAACAATGGCCATTTATATTAAAGGGGCAGTGCGACCTCAGGATGCCTTTAAACATACTAGTAACTGTGGGCATTATACATAGATCCCAGCTCTCTGTGATAACTGATGAGACAGACATCCAACCCTAAAGTTTCATGTCTTAACATTATTTTCATTCTGATGAAGTTACAGTTCATATTGTAACTTCAAGCCAGGAAGGGCAGGCCCATCTTTGGCTCTCTATGGCCACAGCCCTGAGATTATATCTACCAGTCCACTCCAGGTTATCCATTTAGAATCAACTATGTTTGACAAAGAACTGTCCTGCCTCTGAATTGACAGTATCGTATTTCTGCAAACTTTTCTCACTTTCTCTTTCTGCTTATCTGGCTGTTTATTGCTCAGCAGATTTTGCATGAAATATAGTAATAATTTACAGAAATCTGTGCCCATACCTAAAAATACCAATATAAGCTGCTGTTGGACAACTCTTGTGCGGTTGTCTTTCATTTTCCATCCCCGAAATACATTGGTGTAGGGTGGATTAGCAAGAAGGGAAGGGTTACATCCCATGAACACAAACACATGGCATTAAGTTTTGGTGGCTCCATGAACACCTATTCTATATGTGTGTGTGTTTATGTTTACTTTTTTAGGAAGTGAGAAAAGTGAGGTTGTTGAGACTTAGAAAGTCTTCATAAAGTCAAGATTCTCAGCATCTTGATGACAACTTTGATATGTGAAAGTTTTAATGTTGCAGATACCTAGGCTCCATCAAGAAGGCAAATGCCATCAATGGTTTAAAGCTCTCAGGATGCCTATGTAATCCAGTGGCTCATTTTCCCCATTAATAGTCACAGGAAGTGACTCTTGGCTCACAGAACCATACCTTGTCCCAGCTGACCAGGATGAGGAGGCAACACTAGGGAAGGTGAAGAGGTTTAGCTCATACCATCATAACCTGAGATTCATATCTCTTACACCCACAACTCAGTGCTCCTCCCACTCATCCTACTGTTATCCTTTATAAATTGCTTTTCACTTGTTTTAGCTCTCTATCCCATAGTTCCACAATTTCCGTAGTATATCTAGAAAAGCTGGTTTCTCTTTTGCTAGTCACCTCTGGGTTCCTTTACCACTGATTAGGCCCAGCTTTCTTTTGCTGCTACTTGGATGATCTGATTCCCTTAGAATACTCTGAGCTTAACGCCAAATGTCTGATCCTCCAATCTCTGGACACAAAATTTTCTGTGAGAGACACAAATCCTGTACTTTTGCCCCATCTCTAGTTATTCCAACAACCAACCCCCCCCCCCAAAAAAAAAGAACGCAGCTATAAACCTTCCAAATCATTTTGTTTCCACAGGGAGTACTTCAGCAGCTGTCTCTAAAAGAATGCAGCATTTCACATCCTCTCCCAGCCACTTTTATTTTTCTTTGCTTCACTGTTTTATATTTCCTTCTTAAAGAAAGGCAATGAAGTTTAGAATAGGTCAGGAAATTGAGTAATCTCTTATTTAGTTTTCCTACCAATTTCAAGAGTTTGAGTTCCTCCATCTCTGCATTAAAGGGTAATTACTTCAGCCTCCTTTTAAATAACTTTAAAATTTGGAAACAATATGCACATTTAGATCAAGAATGTTCCCCCAAAGCCTCATAGGCAGGGCTTTTGGGAAATGACTGAATCATGGTGCAGGGAGGGGGATATAGCTGACATGTTAGGACACTGGGTCTGGACAGAAGAGGCAGTTCACTGGGAGTGTCAACCTGGAAGAGGGTACCTTTCTCAGCTCCTCACTTCCCTCCCTGCTCCCTGGGACATGAACAGCTTTTCCTCCACTATGCCCCTCCGCCATACTGCTCTACCTTGGAGCTGACCTACCGGTGGACTCAACCATGAACCCAAATGAATCTCTGTCCCTTTAAGTTGTGCATGCTGGACACTGTGTTTCAGCAAGGAGCAAAGTGACTCAGACCATGAATTTTAACCTACACGGCTGCACGTAATGACGAGGCACAGCCATCTCCTTGTTAAGTTTGCATACTTGTCTTTTGGGAGATACTGAGTGTATTTTCTGGGATATGTTCTGGATTATAGTGCTCCCAATTTTGAACTGCATCTTGATTTCAGAGTATGTACATACATAAAGATTTATTGAGTTCTTTTATTGCACATAGGTTGTACCTTAATAAAAATAAATGTATCAAAAGTAAAAAAGTGTTATGTTTATTGACATGGAAATATGTTTACTCTGTGTGAAACAAGAAAAGAAAGTAATTTCTGAAATAATTTGAACTATATAAATCTGTTTTGGGACCAATCTGCTTTTGTAAATAGCATCATAATGAAACAGAATGGAATTCACTTGCTCATGTGTTATCCATGGCTGCTTTGGTGCTGTGTATCAGTTTACTTGGGCTACCCTGGCAAAGTAATGCACATCGAGTGGCTTAAGAAACAGAAATTTCCTGTCTCACAGATTAGGGGGCTGGAAATCTGAGATCAAGGTGTCGGCAGGAAGGTGGAGGGAAGGGTCTGCTTCAGGCTTCTCTCCTGCCTTCTGCTGGTCCCTGGGCTGTGGCAGCATAAGGTTGGTCTTCACCTGGTGCTCTCCCTGTATATGTTCCCTCTCTTTTTTCTTTTTCATAATACTGGGGATTGAGGGTGTTGAACCCAGAGCCTTTGCGCTGAGCTAAATCACAGCCCTTAAAAATTTTTTTAAAAATTTTAACAAAGGGTTTTGCTAAGTCATTAAGTTGCCTAGTGACTGATTTCCTCTCTTTTTTTTCTTGAAAAATACCAGTTGTGTTGATTCAGGGGCTCACTCCTGTGTGATTATATCTTAACTAATTATATCTATAATGACTTTATCTCCAAATAAGGTCACATTCTGAGGGTTAAGACTTCAACATATGATTTTTTTTTGAAAGAAGAACATTTCAGCTAATGACACCTGCAACAGTGGAATTGAGTGATTGACCAACAAAATACAAAATTGTATTCTTTACATTAAAAGTTTGCCAGTCCCTCTGTGTGTGTGTGTGTGTGTGTGTGTGTGTGTGCACACATACACGTAAAAACCTTAGCAGGCTGCTCAGAAATATGTTACTGTATTCTCTGAGTTATAGAATGTTACTGTATTCTCTGAGTTATAGAATTTTATAATCAGTTCTACAATTTAAATTTTAATTATATTAATACTTTTTATATTATTTGTTTTAAAAGATTATGTAATAGTCTTTGTAATGTAAACGAGGAAAAGACATCAATATTTAGTCCTTGTCCCTTGCCTGCATACCGCCCCTTGTGATTTATTGTGTTCTACTGCAAAGCTTTCTAAAACAGGTTACTGTTCCCTATTTCTGAGAGGTGTTAAGGACAAATACTTAGCAAACAGGCAAACCTGCATGTTTACTTACTATGGATTTTTTTTATATCTTTATTTAGCTGCCTCTTGTAAGTTGGAGAGAAAAGGTTTTGGCTTTTATCTTCTCATTAAAAATAGATCCTTTTATGACGAGGATGGAGAAGCCATGAATCATCATCTCCAGCGTATGCAATGTTAGATCACTCCTCTGAAATGGGCTTTTGTAAATAGCATCATAATGAAACAGGATGGCGTTCACTTGCTTCAGTGGGTAATAGGTCACTCTCATGACTCCCTGGTTTCTTGTCATTTCAGGAAGTTGGATGCTTTCATCTATGATGCAGCAGTCTTGAATTACAAGGCTGGGAGGGATGAAGGATGCAAGCTTGTGACCATTGGGAGTGGGTACATCTTTGCTACCACTGGCTATGGAATTGCCCTCCAAAAGGGCTCACCTTGGAAGAGGCAGATTGACCTGGCTCTACTCCAGTTTGTGGGTGATGGTAAGACCTCAGAACACCCCCTAATTTGAGAAGACTTGAGATCCTCATACTGGTTTTCCCATAGACCTTTGTGCAATAAACTTGCTCCCTAAAAGTATCTATTAAATGCCTGCCATGTGATACATGCTTCCTTAGGTTGCTTAAAATGGAATGTGATTGTATATAGCTAAATTTAAAAAAAGAAAATTATTTTAAGGATACAGAATCATGTCTCACAGTGAATTTAAGAGGATTAAACAAATAGGTTTAGAACAAAACAAGGTCCATGGCAGTCCTGGTACCTCAAATCTGGGAATCCAGAGGTCCTCTCCCTAGAGAGGTAGACCTCAATGAAGAGGGGCAATTTTATCTTTCTGAGAACACTTGACACTCTCTAGAGACATTTTCAGTAGTCCCAACAAGGAAGCTGTGGCTACTACATTTAGTGAATACATGCTAGGAATGAAGGATATTGACAAGCATCTTAACAATGCCCAGGTCACCCCTGTATATTTCTAAACATAGAATTATGTGACCCTAAATATAATTGAAATATTTTATTCAGGAGTATTACATAAGTAGACTGTCTAAATTCCCATTTCTATTCTCTAAATTCTAAATTTCAAATTACACAGAATTTATCATCAATTTTGCATCAAATGCCTTTTTTTCTGAAGCCATCAGATCTGACTAAGGGGGTAGAATCATGCTGTGTTCCTCATTGTTGTCCTATGGAGGAACCAAGCTGGGCAATCTTTGGAAAAGGGATGGTGGGCAGAAATCCTATAGATTTAGTACAGCCCATCTACAATACTGCCTAACATGCAAAACTTACAGTTTCCATTTCACAAGATTTACCAACGATTAAGCCACCTGTGGATCTGTCCAACCCCGTTGAATGATTGTGTCTGTAGAAGAATTCCCTTCTGTCTTCTACTTCATAGAGATCTCATCACAGCCCGGGATCCCTGACATGGCTTTTAAATCCAACCATCTGAGTCATAATTTCTTCTTGAAGTGCTACACTGAGATAAGAGAAGCAAAATCAACATAGAGAACAGGTTGGCTCCAGAAATTAGTTCAGTGCAAAGAGAATATGCAAACTCAGGGCAGGGGCAGAAGCCCCATTCCAGAGGCTATATTCAGTGATGACTGCAGTATATGCTGTGCTTGTCTAGAGCTGAGAGAGGAAAATGGAGCAACCACCAGAGCTGAATACAGTATAGGCAGAGCTTACTGCATAAGGTTGGAAGAAATATGAATGAAGCATAGAATTTCTTGCATCTTTTTCTCCTTTGACTACACCTAGAATCAAACCCTGGATTCCCATAGTGTCAGCAAGCATCCTAAATGTGTTTTATATTTAACTCTTAAATAAATATATCTGATTCTCAAAGGTCCCTACAGGATATTTGTGCCTTCCTCAGATCACTGGTCATGTTCCATGATGGTAAAGATGATTTGTAGCTGTGTTGGTTAGCTATTGCTGTTAAATCTTAGAGGCAAACAACAATCAGTATTTAGTTTGCTCACGGGAGCCCTACCTCATGCCAGACTGGGTTTGACAGCTCTAAACCTGCAAGCCCATGTGTCAGGGGTGTGACCTCTGCCTCATACCTGTTTGTTCTGGGTACCAAGTTAACTATCCAGTGGTTACCTATGGAAGCACTTGCCTCTGCTGGAAGAACAGAGTGACCATTTTATAAGCCTGTGCACACTTCAAATCTCTGCTTCATTATATTTTTGTCTGCTAAAATCCTCCCATCCAAAGTAAGTCCATGCCCCAAGTCAAGGGACTGGAAATATACTCTTTTATGGATAGAGATGTAGAGTTTCTGAGGGAGGTTAGAAACTGAAGATTTAAGGTCAATTATTTCATCTACTTCTGGGGTTATCTAAGCACCCTTGTATGTAGAGAACTATTCATTGGGCATATAGGAGTCCAGTCTCCAGCAGAACTCTGATCCTGCCATTAAATACGTGTATGGATAAATGGTTGGTGCTAGGATGTCTTTAATTTGACAGAAAACTTATAATTGTGACAGGTATTGACCAAAAGACTGATTCCTAACCTTAAGCCTCCCTGTCTTTTTTATTTCTCTTGCAACATCTGTTATGAAACAGCTGACATATTTAGGGAACAGCAGATATCAGTTGCCATGTCTGTACATTACAAGTATTCTTTAATCTTCATAACAAGCTTATGAAATTGAGCATTGTCATTCCCATTTTGTAGAGGAGAAAACTAAAGCTCAGGGACCTTGTAAGTCCCCCTCACTGTTAAATGAAAATGTTTTTACTTAATGGACCTTATTCAGGAAAGGGAGCAATTAGGCAACCCCTGTTTTATTTATTTTTCTAAGATATCTATTCAAACAAATTGCTTAGGTACTGTACTAGACATTCATAAACTCTGTAGGAAGAGGCAATTTAGTGCATATATGAGTCAAATGTGCATTTGTTGTGTTTACAAATACTTCTGTGAAAGGGATGATCTTCCTTAGCCTCAGTGTACTTATCTGTGCATGGTTTCAGGCATATTCACCTAATAAGGTTGGCATGAGGATGGAATGGGAAAAGTTTCATGTAAAGTACAGCACAACACCTGCAACATAGAAATAGCTCAATAGCCATCACCTTCATCGTCATTGTTACCATCGTCACCACCCTCAGCAGCAGCAGCAGTGTTTTCATGATCCAGCATTACTGTCATAATCACCAACTCCTTGATCCTCCTCATTATCATCACCACTGCTGTCACCTCTCTCATGACCAACATCATCCTTTTCCTCACCACCGTCCTGTACCCTCCATTAACACCATCATTATCTCTGCACAGCTCTTGTGTTCCACACAGCCTCCTGGTGTTGCACGGACAGAGGTATCATGAAGTTGTATCATGGAAACAGTCTTCATGGTGCTGAACACAAAATGTCTTTGAAGTATGCTGCAGATGCTTACTTGCAGAACATCTAGGTCCTCACAGATACTTTATATGCTGGATCGTTGCTTTCCTGGTCATCCAGAAAGCGTTGGGAAGTGTGACTTTTTCAGCTTCATCTTTAGCGGCCATCTGGAAGTAGAGACATGGGAGAGAAAATGACGTTCCTCCAGGGGGGCGTCTTAAGATAATCTTCCCGGAAAGCCATGTCCAATTCTGAATGTCTCTCTAGGAGTAAATACATGAATTAACACAGCTGCATAAATATTTCACTTATCTTATGAGGCTTCAGAAGGATTAATTATGCTCTAAAATTAGACCTGTAAAGAGCACAGTGCCAAGCAGTACCTAATTATTATTCATCCTTTAGAATGGAGTGTTTATCTCTTGTTATAGAGTAGTTTCAGTGGACAATTACCAGTCTAATGAGTGTCAAAAGTATTTTAAAAAATTTTCCTAATGAGCTATGTAAATATAACCTTCAAGTGGAGTATTTGGTTATTGGAGGAACCTCTTACATGAAGGCTGCCATGAATTTCCCTAGGAAGAAGGGCTACTAATCTGCTTTGAGGGATGCACAGAATCCCCAAGTGACCTTGCCTTCCTTCTTCTGTCTGACTGTGCCCCTTCTGATATGGTACATCATGGGCTCTTTGGTTCTCAGCAGTTTGGAAACTGTTCTCACAGTTACTTTTCAGCGTTGACCAGTAGTAATACCCAACATCTCTTTAGAAGTAGGAACCTTACTAGGCACTAATGTGTTAAGAAGGAATTGTCACTGTTTTTTCTTCTTTTCTTCAAAGGGCTTGCAATATAGCTGGTTGACAGTGCACAAACTTAAAGTATCAAACCTTAAAATACAAACATGTTTTTAGTTATTCATATATGTATGAATTCATATGCACACATGTATGCATTCCTCTTTACTCAGTGTTTTGGGTAGTTAAGAGGGTGGTCAAGGGGATATACCAGACATACAAGTTTATTTTAAAAGGAAATGAATAGGCAGAATGAATCATAAAGAAAATGTGTGCTCCTATTTAGACAAATAATAGCATGGACTAGCATTAATGGGAACCCCAGTGATTTGCTCACCCGGCAACTAGAAAATCTCTATTGAGTACCAGATTCTCCCTGACACCTAAAACATGTCACAAGTAAGGACTGTGTGAGCCTGCAATTTAAAGATAGGTATTTCTGACTTCAAAGTGATGGTGAACAAGGGATCTCTTAGATTCCTTCTAACTCATGGATTTTGTGAGTTTTTTTTAAAAATATAGTTTTGAAATCTAAAGAGGCAGAAGGTAGATCTTTGACTTCTAAATTCAAAAACCTTTCTTGTATATAAGGGCCAGCAAAAAGACACTTTGGAATGAGACTGTATGATTATGTTATTCAGAAGCAAGTGATACTTAGAAAAAATGAAAAAATTATTTTTGAGCTCCTACTCCATGAATTGGAACCATGCTTATTGTATTAAATCTGATACCTAAGTAATTTTTCATATGTAGGTTCTGCATTTCTAACAGGTTCACAAGTGATTTTACTGGACTATGGACAACATTCTGTATACATTTTATTTATTTATTTATTTATTTTTTTTTTTGTGGTACCAGAAATCAAACTCATGACCTCGTGCTTGCCAGGCAGGCGTTTATGCTGCTGAGCTGAATCCCTGGCCCTCTATATACATTTCATAGATGTAAAAATGTAATCAATTCCATCTGCTTCTAACTCTTATCATCTTTCCATTAAGCCATGCTGGCTGTTCTAGTTATAAGTACTATTTGGTTTTTTACCATTGAAAAGAATTTAATGTTCCTCTCTTTATCTATGTACCTTGCTCAGTTTTCATGGTTGTGTGCTGAGTTTTAAACTCTGAAATATGTTACTTATACTTGGTATCTAGTCTGAGTTCACCAGATAAATAAGAATGAGCATATTAACATATTGTCCATATATTTTATAAATTGTTTGTTATATATTCCATTGCATTTATTTATTTGTGTAGATTTAAAATATTGTGAAGCATTGAAAAATACGATGCATATTTCATATTAATATTTTCAATAGGGTGGCC